GCGGATTGTCAGTCATTAGCGTAATATGCACACTTCAGAAGAGGGTGGTTTTAAATCGCAAACAATAACACGCGGAAAATAAACTTAAGTGAACTGGTCAACACGCTAGCACTAATGCGGATGAATCTATTAGGCACTAATTTAAACAGGTATACATATGTACCCATCTCAGGTAGAAAAGTTCACTATGACAGAGAAACGATGAGGGACGACTCTAAAGGTGCGCTGGATGTTTCATTGTACTTCAGGAGCGAGGGGAGTTCTGTCGAAACAATTTTCGACCATTTTTTTTTTACCTGTTGAACAACGTACGTTATTAATATTAAAAGTTATCAATTTCCATTCGCAGTGAATATTTTGATTAAAACCACACGTCACATTGACCACTCAGTGTATACATTCGCTGAAATATACGCTTTGACTGTAATATACGTACTCGTGTCATTATAATCATTTCCCATTACTGTAAATCATTTTTTTATTTGATGTTAATTCTCGTAACTTATTACCGTGCAGGACATTATTACTTCATAAAATCATCATTTTATTTATGTGACGAAATAGGTATACTTTCCCCAGTTTTAATTCGGTTTTTTGATGTATAAAAGTTAACTTGCATAACAACAGATTACTACTGTCGGTGATGGGAAGAAGGATTTAAGCATTGTACTGTGTAATGGTATCGGTACGGTTAAGTCCTTATTTCGACTGTCCCACCCTGGCAGTGGTAATCTATTATTAAGGAAGTTAACTTTTAGACAATGGAGTACTATCATAAAACCGAATCAGATACTGTATATTTAATTTAATTTAATTGATTTACGTTACGGGATACCCCCTATATACAAATAAAGTATTTATTCAATGAGTGCTAAGAAATTATTACATTTAAATATAAATAATATAAATAAGTATTAATTAAAAAAAAAAAATAAAAATAATAATATAATATTAAACAGCTTAGAAGTCTTCAGTTGGTTTTTGAAACGATTTCTTGATGTCCCAAACAATTCCACTTCATCATTATATGTATATATTTGCCAATCTTGTTAATCTATCAATAGGAGAAAAAAACCATAATTTGTTTTATGAAAATCCACCTTAAATACGGGATGGTTACAAGTAAATCTTGAAGGAGAACGTAACTTGAACTTTTCCAAAAGTGAGGAACAATCTATTTCACCTGAAATCAAATTATGTAAAAATATTAGATCAATTTTCGTTCTTCTAAGTTCCAACGAGTCCAACTTCAATACTTTCCTAAGTTCTTGATAATTATATTGATAACCCTGACTTAGATGAAAAGATACGCAAAAATTTATTTTGCACACCCTCCAACGTTTTAACATTTATTTGGTAAAAAGGAGACCAAACGGTACAGTTATATTCTAAAATGGAACGAACCAAAGATATATATGCCAATTTAAACGTATCAATTGGAAACTCTTTTAGATGTCTATTAATAAGCCCAAGGATTTTATAAGATTTGCATGAAACGAGTTGAACATGTTCAGTAAAAGTTTTTGGTCCATCATCACACCAAGATCTTTTATCTTCGAAACTCGTGACACTTTGTGATCAAATAACGAATACTGATAATCAACTGCAGTTGTATTTCTAGAAAAAGATATAATGAATCACTTATTTGTATTAACCTCCATTAAATTAGTCTCACACCATACACCGACCTTTTCAATATCCTCTTGAAGAAGTACAGTCTTCGTAAGACCTTATAACTTTATATATTTTGAAGTCGTCCGCAAATAAAAGTATATTAGAATTCCGTACTACTTGATTAATATCATCTATAAAAAGTAAAAATAACAAAGGACCACAATGTGACCCTTGTGGAACACCCCAAGGAGCAAGGATCTGTTTGGATATAAAATTACCGAATTTAATATACTGAATGCGATCCCTGACAAAATTACCGATCCACCTAATCAACCTGCTATCCAAATTCATTTTCTCCAGTTTATATCTCAAGATATTGTGATTGACTCTGTCAAATGCTTTGGACAGGTCACCATAAAAGGAGTCAATTTGAGAATCATTTTCAAAAGAGTTTATTATAAAATCTTGACATTCTAATAAATTTGTTAAAGTCGACCGCCCTTCAATAAATCCATGTTGAAATGATGACAACGATTGTTTAGCAATATATCTAAGCTGCTGAGTAATTAAGAAATCTAATAATTTAGCCAAAGCTGATTGAATGCACACCCCCCGATAATTAGTAACCTCAGAACGATCCCCTGATTTGTATATGGGTGTAACATAACTATTCTTCCAATAAGAAGGGGAAACCCCTGAAGATAGAGACAAATTGAAGATGTATTGAATGGGTTTACTTAATGAGTACACACATTGTTTTATGAAATAAGCTGGTATGCCATCAGATCCACAATTAAAGGAACTTTTAAGATCCACAATAGCACTAAATACTTCACCTAATAAGAAAAGATGACTATTAAATTCTCTCAAATTTTGGATTATGATTCTGGCTGTATACAGATGAAAAAAACAACATAGTAGCTCCACTATTACTTGTTACATCATTGTATTTCATAGTAATTGGTAGATTAAAATCTTTTTCCATTAATAAATTTCCAAAAAGCTGAAGAATTGCAATGCATTTCATTATTTATTTTGCTTATGTATAACACTGCTTAGTCAATATTTTGCACTGTGACCTTAAATTGGAAAATGCGTTATAATCTGCAAACTGACCATCCTGTTTGAACTTTTTAAGACTTTGCTTTTTTGCTATAATTATGTTTTTTAATTCAGGCGAAAACCATGTAGGAAAAGTAGAACTTCTATATCTTTTTACTGCTATGAATTCATTAATAATGGCATATACAGTTTCCGACAAAAACTTTCAAACATCACTTTTCTGTCATGTCAAAAATTTTAATGTAGTCTATGCTTTATTGTCATTATTTCGGACAGCTGGAATGTCAAACTTTCAAAATACCTAAACATCTAAAGGTTGCTTTACACTATCTGACGACTGAATGACATTGACGTCTGAAATTTTTTGGCGGCAACTGTAGATATTGGTAAAATAAATGTATGCAGTGGTCGACGTCTTTTTGATCAAATAACTCTTCCCAATTTATTTCTAGGAAAGGGATACTAATTGCAGAATAATTTGCTAGAGAAGTTGTTAGCTTGATACATGTTCATAAAAGAGAAACATTCAGCTATCGGGATCGCTTTATAATTAGGATGACATGCTACCCTTAAAGAATCATCAACAAAATCCCATGTAGCTTCCGGGAGATTGAAGTCACCACATATGATGAACTGGGAATTTAAGTTTTTCTGATACACATTACTTAAGGTTAAACAAAAATCTTTGTAAACAAGAATATCAGAAGCTGGAGAAATCTATGTAGCACCAATAATGAAATTATTTCCAAAACCGTCAACCTATGTTTAACCAAAATCAATTCATAAAGATTGGAATGAGATAATAATAAGGAACAGTTAAAATTATTTCTGACACCCACCAGGACACCACCACCTCTTTTTTTACCAGTTACTTCAACATTTCTATCGTCTCTAAATAAAATATACTCATTTGAACAAATTTCCGAATCTGATACATGTGTAGATAACCATGTTTCTATTAATATAAATATGTCATATATGGAAGTAGTTAAATTAGTATTGAATTCTTTTAACTTTAGTTTTCATCCCACCAACATTGTGAAAATAATAAGTAATTATTTAGTTTTTTTGTTAGATTTTGAAATAATCTTAGGTTCCCCACGAATGTACATTATGGCTAAATTTTGTTCCCCATTACTTTATCTAGTTTGTAATTCTTGGCGAACCATTTTATATTTTTCTCTTTGCAGGCTGGTTTGGTCATAGTTTAATTTAATATCATATTACACCTTTTTTCTATTTTTTAAAACTTCCATTGGTTCATTAGCATCTTTAAATATTAGTTTTAATGGTCTGGGTTTGGAGTTCTGCTTGGCTGTACCCAATCTTATTGATTTAAATTCATATAATGACAAATTCATGCAGTTTAATATATTTGAAATAGATTCCTTATCTTTATTTATCCTGCTGTTTAAATCATCACTTTCAAATTCAGAAAGATTATACACCATAACATTTTTAGAACGGTGTAACCGATCATTTATCTCAGCAAAGATCTCCTCCTCGCTCGTTATCTTATTGCTAGTGTTTACTTTAATATTAGATTTTAATTAATTAATTTGGGTTTGTAAATTGTTAACCAGTTCTACCAATTGAGGAATAAAGGGTATAGCGCCGTCACATTTTTTACAATAGAATCGCATTCTTCGATTTTTGAGTTCAAATGCCCCTATTTCACTTTCTGTTAATTCAGCGCACTTTATTATTAACATTGATTTTAATCTGATTCAGTTTTCCAATACCTAACGAATAATGAATCTTGTTTAGTGTAAGAAAAATGCTTAAATGAAACAATTTAATCAAAATTGCACGGTTTGTTTGTGGTTAATAATTATCATTAACTAAATATGTTTTTCTTTAAATATTTAGTATTCATTTCTGTAGCAAACAAAAATTCAAATTATTGAGGGAGCGATCGATTTAAAATGCTGACACTATTAAAGTTAAAAAAATAGAAAGCTCATACATAACCAGCTAAATCAATGTTTAACAAAAACTTCTCGCTTCAGTTTCATGAAACTGTCAGTTGTTAAATGTCTCACATTTTCTGGCTTTTCACGTAGCTTTAAACGAAAATTGCTTTATTGGCCTTGAATATCGACATTATTGCATAATTCAAAATACTACTTATTCGTATGAAACATTTTCATATTTAAACTGGGAACTGAAAAATTACCTACATTTGTCAAGTCTTAAATTTTGAAGTTATGCCTTAATTTTTGTTATAAATAATACCATTCCTCTCCTACACAGTCACGACCATGAATCGAATTTACTTTTTTAGAATAAAACTGCTGTGGCATTTTTTTACTGGCTTTTTGTAGGTATTGCAGCACCGAACGTTGTGGAACCAAAACACATAGATACTTCCTTTTACTTTGACCTCAAATTTGTTCTCCCTTTCACTGTTATATTGATAGTGATCATAATTTGTGGGATGATTGCTGTATTGTGCCTAAGACGTCGTAAGTACCTTATCACAATTATAAATATTGCTATATTTAAAATACTTCATACCATTTAAGAATTTGTTTTCACGTCAAATGAAAATAAGTAAAGTTTGTAATTCTATAGAAATATTCTTGACTATTTTTTTCTATTTTTTGGCGAAAACAAAAGTTATATTGTAATTATATATTTACAGTTTGATATCTATACAATTATTGCTGGAATTGTTTATTTTTTACAATACTTATAAGCTTTCTACACGTTTTTGTACCTTCTTCGAAAGAAACTTAACAAGACAGACGTATTTTACTACTGTTTTTTTAAGAATTTCTAAAACTAATATGAAGGATGAATTACGTATTACACATTTGGTGTTAATTTAGCTCTTTAAAGTTAATAAAACGACATTAATATTTCCGATTTGACATAGTTTACCATTATTATCACTTGTCGTACAATTTCATAAGTATAATAAATAATGGGTGTTCACAAATGTGTACCCATCAAGATTCAAGTGTCAAAAATATTCTGAGCAACTTCTGCGTCTTTTAAAAAAGCTTTGCAAAATTTAGAAATACATAACTGTATTACTGATTCCCCATTCACCAGACCACAGAACATACATCTAATTTTAAAATTGTTTCGAAAACGACTTTAATCACTGCATTTTACGTATAAACCAAGGAGGTTTAAGTATGTGTAGAGAGAGTAGAATACTCACTGTTTTATATCACACATATACAGATCCTAGATTAATATAGATCGGACATACAGGCTGATTTTGCGAAGTCACCTTTATTGACATTGGAGTCCTCAACCGCCAAAGGCAGGCGCTAAATTTAAATAGTCGATGCCAATAAAAACTATAATTGTAATTCGTGTGACTTGAATTAAAGTGAAGGTGAAACAGTAAGCACGTAAGCAGCTTGTAATAATCTGGTAAATCTAGCGTCAATTTGTCGAAAGTAAAACTCGTCGTAAAAATATTATGACATTTCTTCTAGTTAATTTTATTCCTAGTTAGAAACAAACACTGTTGCCAACATAAATCTAGGAGTCCTCAACCGTCATTTGATTTAAACTATGACGCTTCTCTATGTTCTCTGTAAAAATCGTCTCTTCTGTTTGTATGGTGTTCGTACACATTCATGAATGAAAGGACAAGCGGTTGAGCTAGTCAGTGGAGTAACTAGATTTTACTGCTGTCTATTAGTTTTATGATTTATTACATTTGTTATTGTTCTAGATTTTAGTGGATATCTGCAATGGCCAGGCCAGATACGCGAACGTGTGGGAAGTGTATTAACCACAAATTTTGTTTTAGAAACCAATATTTTTTGTTTTTCTTGAAATTGTATGAAACTGAAACTCGTCAGCCACTGTACTGCGATGGAATAAACCTCTCGCACGTCACTCCTCTCATCCGGGAGATGTTGGTCACATTTTTATAGTATGGAAGGTGATGCTTTTGGTGATGCTTTTTGGGGGTACCTCTTTTTTTTTGAGGGACCCCCCGCCTGTCCGTCCGAAGGCTTTAAGGCTTCGTTGATTTTCCATCCCCCCTACGGCTCCTCTTTCGTTCGTCTTTCATTCTCTCCTTCTTACATTCATCCCCATGCATGCAACTTAACAAGTTCTTACTTACTGGTTCTACTCGTCTTCTCCTCCGTCATGGTTTCCTTCCGCAAATTCCTGTTCCTCTTCCGTTTCTTCATCTGATCTCCTTCTGCCCCCTATCAACTCGTCTTCCATTACAATCTCCCTTGCCCATAGATTGAAATTTGCGATCTCTTTTTCTTTAGACTCCTTGGTAGGTAACCTGAAAAGGAAGCGTTCCACCTAACTCTTGCTGCCGTCTTCTAAATTTTGCCCTGGCTCTCCTTTGTTCTTCTCCTTGGAATTCCTCCATTAGATGGTAAGCCTGTTCTCCTGCTCCACATCTGCATTCCCAAGTACCTTCTCTGAAGTTGAACCTTCAGAAATAACCTTTGAATGGGCCATCTCCCGTGAGTAGGCACACTTCCCGGGGGCTCCATCTTCTGAGGCCAACGTCGACGTGGTGAATCAGTCTCTCGGTGTGGCGCCCCGTGACTTCCGTCGTCCACGCTTCGTGCCATTTCGCTATGGCTACCCTATGTGCCTCCCGCTTTAGCATTCTCCCACTGACTGAAGCCTGCACCTGCGGGTGATTTTCAGGTTCTTCTCTGGTTCTCCTCGCTGTCCGGTACGCTTCGGCCACTCCAGGGTTCACCACCGTTAACCACCAAAATTGGACCTTGGCGCCCCCATCTTCGATCCGCTGCAAATCTTTCGAGATTCCATCCGCCGTTCCTCATTTTCTTCTCGTCACCATATCTAGTGCAACTCTGGAGTCGGTGACTAGAATGATGATTCCTCGTTTCACTCCTGAAAGAAAACTTACCGCCATTCCCAGTACCTACAGCTCAGCCATGTGCACAGGGTAGTCATTTAGGGGTCTTCTTCCGATCCTCGACACCTCGTTCCAGTTCTCAATTTTGACAATTCCTACCCCGACGTCCTCACTCTGTGAAAATCCATGTTCCTCTTCTCATCTCCTCCGGCTCTAGCGGCATCCACTTCCTCCTCTGTTCCGCTGGATGCGGTCCCCGGGCGAAGTCAGGTTTCCTCTCGAAGTTCGCTGCTCTACTCCCGATCTACCTGCCGTAGTGGTTTGCTTCCCGCCAACACCTCTAACGTAGCGATAGACGTCGTCCTGTAAGCTCTAGTGACGTCCAGCAGGAATGGCCGCTGCGCTGCCTGCAGGCTTTTCTTGATCCTGGAGATTGTGTAGCGGTGTTCCCAGATTTCAGATGCGTACAACAAAGCGGGTTTAATGGCCCCGTCATAAATCTGTTTGAGAGTCCGTGGATCTGTTCCCCAGGTTCTACCCGCTACGGCCTTCATTCGATATGCTGCCCCTGAAATTTTTCCGACTACGTACCTGGAGTGTTCCACTCACAGCAGACCTCTGTCGATAATAACCCCTAGGTACTTCATGGAGAATGCCGGTTCTATGACTGTCTCCCCCATTCGAATCTTCGGTTTCGATTTTATCCTGGCCTTTCTCCCACTCTCGTCGCCCCAAAACTCACGGTCGTTTTGTCGTAGGCGTATTCTAGCTTGTGGTCGGATGACCACCGCAGACAGGCCTCCCACACGGCTTCCCATGCCGCCTCAATCCGTCGTAAAGAGGCACCTCTGATCATGATGAGCTGATCATCGGCGTATGCCTGCACCTTCACCTGGACCCCTTCGAACACCTTCACCTGGTCGATTTCCTTAAACCAATCCTCCATGATTAGCAGCCAGAGAATTGTTCCTACACGGGCACTTCCTCGCTGTCTCGATGGTCATCCACTCGGAAGTGACTTTCCTCCCTTCGAAGAAGTTGGCTACGGCTCTCCGCAAATCCGTTGGGCAGTCGCTTCGCGACAGCCCTTTCTTCAGTTTAGGATGCCAGGCCGAATTGAATGCGTTTTTGATGTCTGGCGCGACCATTAAAAAGTGGCTTCTTTCTTCTTCTGCCCTCTTGATCTCGTTCACGGCTTCCGCGATAGCTTCGATCGTGCCCCCGTCCTTTCCTAGAACCAAACTGACGGTTAGAAATCTTACCCTCGCTCTCTAGGAAATACGCAAGCCTCGTCGGGAAGATCTTGTCGCAGATCTTGCCGATTGTTGGCAGCAGGCACACGGGCCTGAGTCCTCCGTTTGGTTTCGATAACCAAGTTACCTCCGCTTCCTTCCAAATCTCGGGGAACCGTCCCTCTCTGAGGCAGCTATTCATGACTTCCGGCATTTCTCTACCCGCAAACTCAAGAAGATGTTGGAATCCCGCGATTGGAAAACCGTCGATACCCGACGCCTTCCTCTTCGGTCGTCCTTGTGCCTCTCGAGTTTCCCTATTCCCGGCAGTGTTTATTTTCGCGTCGTCTTCTGGGAAGTACTTCCTGATGAGTGCCTCCGCGGTTTCTTTCCGGCTTCCAGTCCATTCCCCTGATGCGTTTTGCACCGTCGCCCATGTTGCCGCTCCACTTTTGCGCGTGGTAGAAAGGATCAATGTGTCAAGCTCTATGGGTCCTCCGGACTCCCTGCCGAGAGAATCTCTCGGAAAGATCGGAGTTTCACCTCCTTGATCTTGTTCTTGTACTTCACCCTGGTCCTCTTGAATTCGGCCGTGAGTTGCTGCCCCCAGTCCTGGTCCCGTTCCTGTTGTGCTGTGATTCTTGCCCTGCGAGTTTTTCGTTTCCACCGTTGGAGTTCAGCCGTCCACCACGGTGTCAGACTCTTTTCCTTCTTCCTTCGCGGAATGCTACCGTTGCATGCCACCATCGCCGTTCTCTGAAAGATAATCGCCTTCTCCTCGGCCATGCCCTGGGGTGGCGATTTCAAAAGCGACCGCTGGAGCTCCTTTCCGAAGGCTTCCTAATCGGCGAGAGCTACCACCATCCGCTTTTCGTCACCGTCATTCGAGTTCCTATTTACGGTTCGTTTGACCCTAAAAGAAATTAATTCATGATCGCTAAGTTTTCCTCTTCCCGGACCATCCAGCTTTCCACCGTCGCATTCCTAGTCAGTGTAATGTTGATCAAACTGCGTCCGTTGTCCGTCTCGAAGGTGGGGTGGAGTTTGGAGCGTTCTCGATAGCCACGTTTGCCAACCCCAGCAAGCCCATGACCCGCTTCCCCATGCTTCATGCTTAGCATTGAGATCTCCTGTAGCGACAACTTGGTTCTTGTTTTCCCGGAGGAGCGCCTCCATCTTAGACAGAGCCGCCCCCAGGTTTCCTTTAGGCTCGACGTAGGTACGTGTTTAAAAACACCAACTTGACATCTCTGCCACGGTACCGCGTCAATTCGTTGCGCACAACTAGTCGCGCGACAATTGATAGCAAACAACTGATCGCAGCGTCAATTGGTCGCAGCGACAACTGGTCGCAACGACAACTGGTCGCACTCACAATTCGTCGCAAGTACAACTAGTCGCATACGACAATTGA